AAAAAAAAAAAAAAAAAAAAGAAAGAAATCTGTCTATTAAAAAATGTAAGTTTTACTCAACTCGTGGATTTATATTTCATGGCAGGTTTATAGGTTAGCTGTTGCTGTGTAACAAATCACTGTAAAATTCAGTAGCTTAAAACCATTATTAATTCTTAACTTCTGTGTCTACAAATCAGCCCGGCTTCAGTTGATGGAGGCTGGGCTTAGCTGGGAGACTTTACTTCGAGGGGTGGTGGCTAAGGGCAGTTCTGCTGTTCATAGAAATCTGGCAGCTTGGTTGAGGTACCCCTGCCCTACATGTGTCTTATTTTCCTGAGACTGGTGAGCTATCTATGATATTATGAGGATGGTACGAGAGAGTGGATAGAGGTACTTAAAGCCTCGGCTCAGGACTGACATACTGTCACTTCCTTCCAAAAAGCAAATCACCCAGTCAAGCCAGAAAATCAAGGGGCAAGAAAAGACACTGACACTGCTCATGATGAGCACAGCGTGGCAGTAGTGTGGATGAAGGGGGACAGAATTAGAGCCAGCAAGTCAGCCTGCCACACCAGGTTAGATAATGGAAAGTTTGAGGGGAAACTAGGGTAGAGATAACAATAGTCTGAGTTGTGTGGGTTTAGTAGGAGGTAAATAGGAAACAGGATCTCTCAGAGAAAAGGAGTGATATAGTTTTGGAGAAGGGTGCAAGCCACAAGGGGAGAGAGAATTGTAGCTGAGGAACAGCAGAGGGCTGACACGCCATGCGTCCAGCGAGGGCAACAACAGTATAGCAGGAGTGAAGGGAAAGAACAAGGCAAACAAGAGTAGTAAGAATGTCTAGGTGGAGGGAGGATCTCTGTACTGAAGGCTTATTTTAGTTCCCTAACATCAGGTAGGTAATTGTGAGCCAGTGAGCTTGTACATTTCCGCATTATGAAATGTCTGCAATGGTGGAATCTAAGAGAATGAAGCATTTCTGCACCGGGTTCAGGTTTGGCCAATGTCTTATAGATACCCTTTGAGATTTTAGCATCTTATACCACATCTAATTATAGTATTTTGGCAAAGAAGCTGTAATCAGCATTTAAAAAAGATAATCCTTTTTCATTTAATTTCCTGATTTTCATCCAAGCTGATGCTTTAATCAGAGTGATGAATATTTCTCCACCAAATAAGGAATCTGAGTAAATTAAAAATGTGTAAGTATGTGAATGTTTCACATGATGTGCTACAAAGTGAGTACTTAAGTACAATTACATTTTTTTTTAACATTTATTTATTATTGAGAAACAGAGAGCATGAGCAGGGGAGGGGCAGAGAGAAGGGGGGACACGGAATCTGAAGCAGGCTCCAGGCTCTGAGCTGTCAGCACAGAGCCTGACACTGGTCTCGAACCCACAAACCGTTGAGATCATGACCTGAACTGAAGTTGGACGGCTTAACAGACTGAACCACCCAGGTGCCCCTTAAGTACCATTAATTCATAATTTCTTTCTCCTATTGATGTGAATTTAGGTGACGTGTCTCTTCTACTTCTTAAGTACTAGATCCAGTAGAACCATACATATTTGCCTTTTCTTTAGCTGTACTATTTTGAAATGCATTTTCATTTCTAAGAAAACAGATACTGTCTTTAAGTCAGGCTGCATGCATCATGCCCATTCGAATGGAGACAAATTACCTCATTAGTAGACTGCACCTCTCCCTAAGGGAACTGATCCTGGAGCTTATATTTTTGATGTATTCTGAGAAAACCTCTTAAGATTACTGGATAGTCTTGTTTCATTGCTACTATGGTTTACATCTTGAAAAAAATTAATTTGCTATGTCTCTACATGTTTGAACATGTGATTCTCTCGTCTGCATTTAGCAGATAATTTCTCTGCTTGCTTTTTATCCAGAAGCTTTTAGCTATAATGCTTTTTGTGAAGGAAGCAGGTTTATTGAATGTGTACCGTTAGCCATGTGTTAAAACAGGAGAAAGCTAGACATGAATAAGAAAATTGTCCTTAGAATTGTCATTTTATCAATCCAACACTTTTGCTTCATTGTATTTGTGTTGTTATTGATTTCCATCCTCTTTCTTTATAGGCTGGGGAATGATGATACCCAATTTGAGGTTAGCATGGCCAACCATGGATGTGAAGTACATCGTTTTGATCCTAGTGTTAAGTCAGCTCATATCCTGGAGAGTCCACGCCTTTGGTACCACCGCTTGTCCATCGACTGGAGAGACCCCCATCCAGCTGTTGCTGCCCCCAGACCGTACAGCAACACCAGGAAACTGGGAACCATTTTGAATGAATTTGGGCATCACAAGGTGAGAATTTTTCCATTTGATTTTATAATTAAATAAAGTGAACAAACTGGTAAACTTTAAAAAATGCAAACCAAGAATTGGATGGTTGAGGATCCCGTTTCAATTTTACTGATGATCACCCATCACTATTTATAGAGTCAGCTCTGTAGACATAAAGTTTTGGCAAGGATAGAGATCTTAAGTTGATTTGTAGATTGTAGTTGCTGTTGAGTAGCGCTAGAATTTTGGCCAAGAATGGGCAGGAACTAAGAAACCTACTTCTGGCATAGGTTCAAGAGTCCCATTTTCATTTGGCAATCGATTTAAAATGTTCAGACAGAGCAAACTACTTACGTTGGCCTCAAATACAGAAAGTACTCAGAGCCAGGTTTTTGTTAGATTGCTCAGGTATCATGTTTCTTTCTGTTGTAACAACTATTTTGGGGCTCTAGGCTCTTAAACACCAGAAGATATGTATATCTTTGATTAAAATGAACTTTGTAAAATTGAATGGACATTATGTGTGTTGCAACTGATATAATTATGTCAAAAGATGTCAAATCCCTACAGGCATTTTATTGTGAATGGGTAGCAAAAGGAAGCTCAACCTCTGAACTGTGTTCCTGGAAAGCAATTTTTAGGGTAGACCTGAGCCAATTGCATTCTATAGGCAAATACTAGATAATTCTCCTGAGTGTACTTGGCTTGCATGTGTTTGCTAACCTGCTTGGGCTCAGCCTGCTTTGCCTTCATGTTCTCAGCCAGAGATGGCATGTGATTTGGAACATGCCAAAATGCGTGTTTCTGAAAACCAGTGTACATGGAACTTAGTTTTAAACTTGAGTTGGCTGCTTGATCTTTAACAAAAGGGCTTTTCCTCTGCTTTGTTCTTTTTCTCCTCCTCCGCTCCCTCTTGCTTCTCTTCCTCCTCCTCCTTCTTAAAAAATAAAACAACCAACTTCCCTTTTTTTTTTTTTTTTTTAAGTTTATTATTTCTAGGAGAGAGAGAGAGAGACAGCATGAGCAGGGGAGGGTCAGAGAGAGAGGGAGTCACAGACTGAAACAGGCTCCAGGCTCTGAGCTGGCAGTCAGCACAGAGCCAGATGCGGGGCTCGAACCCACGAACGTGAGATCATGACCTAAGCGAAAGTCGGACGCTTAACCGACTAAGCCACCCAGGCGCCCCTCAACCAACTTCCCTTTAATTGGACAGCAGGAGCTTCTTCAAGAATGACTTAAAGAATTTGCAGCTCTTTTAACCTGTGATTAACTATTGATTTGTATTTTGCTCTGCCATTGACAGTCATTAGCATTTAATAATTTGGAACCGAAATGAAACATATATGGGATTTGCGGGGTAAAATCTCTAAACAGAAACTGATGTGGGAGCATTTTCCAGAACTTTATTTTCTTTTTGCTACCTGTTACCTTCAAAGACCTGGTTTTTGACAGCTGAAAAATTACAGGCTTGACTCTCTAGTACGTCAGCTCTCGATTATTCAGAGAGCTAACTACAGATTCTTTGTGTTCATTTGGGAGTCTTGTTGCTCTACCATAATGTTCTTTACACCCCGGCCCTGTCTACCCTTACTCTTTATTTTATTTATTTATTTTTTAAAATTTATTATTTTTTTTATTTCTAGGAGAGAGAGAGAGAGAGACAGTGTGAGCAGGGGAGGGTCAGAGAGAGAGGGAGACACAGACTCTGAAACAGGCTCCAGGCTCTGAGCTGGCAGTCAGCGCAGAGCCCGCTGCGGGGCTCGAACCCACGAACCCTGAGATCATGACCTAAGCGAAAGTCCGACGCTTAACCGACTAGGTCACCCAGGCGCCCCTACCCTTGCTCTTTAAAGACGGAGGAGAGACTGCCTTTCTCAATGATACTTTAGCAAAAGATCTGGTAAATGGGAGGAGAAAAGAGGGCTTTGAAAAATGACGTGTGGATACCATTGATCTAAGCCACGTTTCCTGTGGAAAATATGTTTTCAGATAACCAGGCTTGCACCCAAATTGTGTTTGCTTAATTCCCTAGGAGCTGCAGGGGCAAACCTGTTTGCTGCTGCTGAAGCATGCAATCTTTTATGCCGCTCCTAGAAAGCGGAAATATATATAGTAGTACCTAAAAAGGATAAAAGATTTTTTGTATTCCTAAGGTTATTTTTATTAAAAACATTAACATTAAGACATTATCAAAATAAAAGTATTCTGATAAATATTTATTTAAAAACATTAATTTTTTAAGTGTCTATTTATTTTTGAGAGAAAGAGAGAGAGAGTATGAGCCGGGGAGGAATGGGGAGAAAGGGAGACACAGAATCGGAAGCAGGCTCCAGACACCAGACTCAAACTCCGGAACCGTGAGATCATGACCTGAGCCAAAGTGAGACGCTCAACTGGCTGAGTCATCAGGTGCCCCTATTTACAAAAACATTATAAAACCTAAAAATAGTTAAGGTGGTTAATTTTATGTTATGTTATGTGTATTTTACCACAGCAAAAAAAAAAAAAATTTGGGAAAACATGAAAGTGATCTGGCTCAGAATTGCCAGGTATATATTGCTGCTTTAAAAATTCTCTACTGAGGCACCTGGGTGGCTCAGTCAGTTGGGCGTCTGGCTTTGGGCTCAGATCATGGTCTCATGGTTCCTGCGTTTGAGCCCCGCGTTGGGCTCTGTGCTGACAGCTAGCCCAGAGCCTGGAGCCTGTTTCAGATTCTGTATCTGCCTCTCTCTCTGCCCCTCCCCTGCTCACGTTCTCTCTCTCTCTCTCTCTCTCTCTCTCTCTCAGAAATAAATTTGAAAAATAAAAACAAAAAACATTAAAAAAATTTTTTTAAAACATTAAAAATTCCCTACTGAGGAATTTAAAAGATACTGATACTCTTTCATAAGTGTTTGTGTGCGTGTATGTTTGAATGCTGTAAAACAAAGCAAGAAAAATGAAACCCGTTGGTGAGTGATTGCTTTCATTAGGAACATGCATCTAGAAGCTAGGCGGTGCCAGATAAAAGGAAACTTCATTTCTGGCCTGCAGCAAGCAAAGTCTGTTTTCATTTTTCTGCTTGTATACAGACTGGTCAATAGGATGTGGCTCTGGCAGGGAAAGCAAATAGAAAACACACACACACACACACACACACACACACACACAAATATGTGCATGAGCCTTTCCTTCTTCACTCATTTTTTTCTGCAAGTGACTTTAGAAACCAGAGGGTTTTTAGTTGTTTTGTTTTCACTTCACGACGTTAAACTATTTCATATAGTTTGGTGATGTTTCTCCATGTTAAGCTGTGATTTTTCTTCTTCTCTTTATCCACGCCTACACTCTAGCCCCTCAGGCTAAAAGGGGCTGTCACTTTCTGACACGGTGACAGAAAGATGCATGTGGCTTTTGTGCTGCTTTTAAAACTCTTTGGTAATTTACATTTCAAACTGTAAATCAAAACCCTTTCTGAAGCATCAGGTGAGAGAGCAGCAGCATCCGGAAAAGCAAATGAACCATAAGCTATTATAGCACCTGGATCCAGCATTATTAATGACTTCTCATTGCTCATATACTTGTTGCTGTAACTATGCATAAGGATTTTCCCAGAATGGGACTAGAAATATCGAATCTGAAATTTCTGCTCTTATTAATCGTAATGTATGCTTTTTTCCTAAAGTCTTTATCATACAGAGTGTTCTAAATAATCCAGGCTGATGAAAGAGATATTATTAGTTTCAGTCTTAGCCATGCTGATGATAATATGAGTAACAGGACTGCCTTAGGCTTTACCTCTGGAAGCTCAGTAATTTACGTTTGAAGCTCTGGTTCTCCAGATGCTTCAAGGATTTTTGGCAATGGGGCATTTAACCACCCTGGCGCTCAGTTTGATCACCAGTGTAATAGGGACAGTAACACTACCTGGATGGATTGTTTTTGAGAAGTACATCAGAGAACACAGTGCGATTGACAAATGATGATTTTAAATTCAGGGGACTTTTTAAAACAATTTCAGTAAGGTTTTCACAAAATTCTATAGAAAACATTTTGTTTTCTTTCTTTGTTTTCAGGGAAAATATATCAGATTTCCCTGGAAGTTGCTAACTGCACCGAATTCCACTCAAGAGTTTTTAATGAAAGCTCTGTGTGACACTGAAGGGCAATTGGTTCTTCAGACGTGGTGGTAGAGAACTGTTTTTGTTTGCTGCCCTGGGGCACTGAACAGCTTTGCTGGCGATTGTGTAGAAAGAAAACACTGTGCTGTAGATAAATTGAATAAGCCGCTGAGAATTAATACAGAGTAGAGGTGGGGCACGGAGGCCTTGGGCAGTGGGAGGGGGGTCAGAGGACAGGGTGGAGCAGACTGGTGCCAGTTCGCTGCGGGGGCGGGTCCTCCCCTGGTGGGCAGGGCCGCTGTCCTGGGCGTAGTGGCCGCAGGTAGCCTCACTGGAGGGGGGAGGAGCCGCCCGCTTCCAGGCCCTCCACCCCCCATCCCCCACCCCTTGGACTCCCCAGGGATCATGAGAAGTCGGCTCTGCTGTGTGATCTCAGCTGTGCTGGTGAGAACCCGGGCTTTGAAATAGAACTACGGAAAGATTCCCTTTTATTTGCTTATCAAATTGGCAAATATAAACAAGATGTTGATACTGCCCTAGAGTGGAATGAGTCTTGGGAATGATACTCAGGCTTTGCCACTGGGAGTGGAAAAGTGATAGATCCAGGAAGAAGATTCAGCCACACGTGTATATTATGTCACTTTTCACTCCCAGGAATTTTCTTTACCTGAAATTCTATTTTGTGTGCTATTAGTTCTGCCGTACCAGTTTCTTGTTTTGTTTTTGATAAATATTTATGTGAAATGCCATTCGAGATTCCTTTCTTTTTTGATATAGTTTTAGTTTATGTCCTTTGTGCTCTCTCCCTCTCATAATTTTCTCTTTTCGGTTTGTGTTTGGTGTGGGGGAGGAGTGCATCATCTCTATAGGGAAGAGGGAAGAAGGTGCATCACCTTTCTTAGAATAATCTGGAGAAATAGT